GTCAGTTAGAGGATAACAAATGCCGTTCACAAAAATACATCCTAGTATTGTCATCAGTTTAATCACGCCGTGGCGCCTGACTCAGTCACGAAGGTCACCTACAATTACCATACTTAACTGCTTAATCAAGCTTTGAAACTTCAACATTTGTATAAAAGATGAAATGTTGCACCATTCATTCGGATAATTTTCTATTTGACTCGTCTACAACGGCGTGACTAAAGTTTGTGCGTGGAGGCTAAAAGACTACGTGTCGTGACATAAGAATTGCGGGTTTTGGCTAAGGAATTGTAGATCGAGGCTAAAACATGATGGGCAAAAGGTGTAGTTGAAGACTGATTTGATGAACCATCAAAATAAATAGGACATTTGTCCCGTAAGTTCGAATCACTGCGATTTGAGAAGGCAATGTCGAGTTTCACTTCACACATGCGTTTCGCGCATCTCACTATTCAAATAAGCGCAAATGTTTATATTTTCTTGTTTCTAACACGTTCCCTCTGTGTGGTAAAACGCGACAGACCTCAGTTGTGTATCGTATAGTACTTGAGGATGGATGGATGTCGACCCAGTGAATCGGTGGTGTTGTGGTTTGCGTGTGATGGCTAAGGTGACCACAAGCCGAAAAAAAACAATTGCGGCACACTGTTTAATGCCTATGGGTTAGTGAATACATTTTTATCAGCCGGTAGACATAGTTTAGTGCATATTTCTGAATGACACAAACATATAGTAGTGATTATCGTAACATCCTATTAAAGATTAAAGATTTCTTCTTGTTCATTTCACCCGATAAAGGGGACAGTGAACAGACAACTCGGGTTCCGCAATTTCGACAAACTCAGCTACAGAGAACAATTCAAAACGCTCAACCCGCGTTCGCTGTTACATCATCTCAGGGAAGAATGGGTTTTACTGATCAAAGATCATGCTTTGGAGAACTTTAATAGACTGAACCATGTAAAATAAAATTTCCTCCCACTTAACCTGCCTGGTTCGGATGATCTTCGGGATCCACTTTCGTGGGATGATACATGTTTTTAATTGCGTACGTCTCCTCATTGACGGTCCGCAATGCTCCTTCAAACAGGTAGTGACGAGAAGGACGTTTAGTCCAGGATTGAATTAGAGACTTAAGAATCCCAGCACTTTTGCACTTTCAAGTCCCGCTTTTGGTTACTGTTTTTTAACTGTCCATTAGGTCTGATAGTGAATGAGTAATGTAAAGAAGTAAACCAAATGTGCATAAAAATAAAGTAGATTTACAGGCCCCGCTGTTTAAATCACTGCCGCTTCACCCAATCTTTATAATCACTGACTATGAAGTGATAACCGATTATTCAACTGGGGAGCCTGGCACAATCTAGAAGGCTGATTTCCCTGGTCCAGTCCGTAACAGACGAGCTTTGTTTTATAAGTAGTATGCGTGGCTATTTTATTCGGCGTAAAAAACTGACGAATGTGAGTGGTATATGATTGACTCAAAATGGAAACGTAGGTCAAGCATCAGCGAGGGACGAGTGGGGGAGGGTAATTAATCTGCCGACGGGTTTCCTTTTCAAAACATCTAAAGTCGAGAAGTCATGTTAGCCATGGTAGGTTCCTTAAACCCCTCTTCCTTTCTCTTTTTCGGAAACAAATAAAGATAACAGAAGAGCAGGCATATATATTACACGTTTGATTTGTGAGTGAACGTGGTGCCCAAGTGTCTATGATGGGAAGTAGAAACAGGGGGAGGGGAACCGGGGACAAAAGACAAACGATGTGAAGAAAAAGAAACGGTTACACAGAATAAAAAGAATAAGAGCAAGTGTAATACGAAGATCACTGTCGTGCAATCCCCTATCTGCACCTTCCTAACATACCTACAGGCTTTCTATAGACGTAACCATCAATCTCACTCTAATCGTCTTTACCTGATTCTCATTACAACCTACAAACAACAAACAAAAGTTTCACAATTATTCGTCTTGTCGTGAAGTGAGAATAAGATCACCACTGCCCCCAGTTTACTGCTCCAGTTCGCGATGTTGATAACCGCTTAGCTACCGGATTGCCCATTAACAAAGATAAAAAAGATAGGTAATATTTCCAGATCCGTGTACTTATTCCCATCTTTTGTTGATGTCAACCCGGTTTGGGCAACGCGGTCTGACAGGATGCGAACTGGACGCACAGTATGGTACAGGCGGATTGCTGGACATGCGAACAATCATTATTCACAACGATGCGAATTTCAGAATTCAGCGTTTTTCGTTTGAAATGTACCTGGGGGACATGTACAACTCTCACACTTCGTTATACTGTTAAACTTTTATCAAATAGACCCTTACCGAGGTATATTCCTTGTCAAAAGAAAACAGAAAACAACGGTCTGTGGTGCGGTCAACTTAAACAGTTCCTACTTTGTCCAAAATCTTGTTACTGATTGCAGAAAAATGAAAACTGAACTGTCCCTGGTTGATAGGACCGCACTACGCAGCATTAGAGTTGCAGGCGGATAGCTTTTGATTGTTCTACTTGCATTCACCAATCGTCACAACTGCACTTGGATGAAAACAAAAGCAGCAACTAGAAGCGCATCAAAGAACATCGTCTCCGTTGGCTAAGCTATCGAGAGCATGTAGTGATCTGGCGGGACGCCAGTTGCTAACCGCTTGACAGAAACCTGGCACATGATCCCCATTCAGCATATGTATATATTTTTTCACACACGTCTGAATCCAGTCTGTGTGCCAAATAAATCATGGTACAATCATAATTATTTACCTCTTCTGAAAGCTCATCTTACTGATATTCCGAATTGTCTGTGCACAGGATTTTATTGTAGATAACATGGGCAGCGCATTCATCGAACCCCCCACATTCGATCTGGCCAGTTCGTTTGCCGATTCCAATTGTTGCTCCCCTCTCATTTTTGTACTCTCACCGGGCGCCGATCCGATGAACGCGCTGATCCGATTCGGTGCAGACATGGGCTACACGGGGGATCGGATTCAAACCATCTCACTCGGTCAGGGACAGGGTCCGTTCGCAGCCAACATGATCGCGCAAGGCATCAAAGATGGTAGTTGGATTGTATTACAAAATTGTCATCTGGCAGTCAGTTGGATGCCTGCATTGGAGAAGATTTGTGAAGAAGTGATTGTTCCAGCCTCAACGCATAAAGATTTTCGCCTCTGGTTGACCAGTTATCCGTCCCAAGATTTCCCGGTCACAATTTTAGAGAATGGTGAGTGCACGAGAATTGACGCGTGCACCGTTGCATTTTGGTTGTACATGAAGACCTTTTCCATTGTTAATGGTTTTCTCAAATTCATTAAAAGTCTTTCCGTGTGAGTTTTTACAGGATGATACTACTGTAGGAGGTCGGGGTTGCTGCATTGCGTTCTCAGCGTGCTCGGGCACCACCTTTAAACGCACTTCAAGCACTCACACTCTTGTGACATCAGACTTTGATCGCATACTCATTATCAGGGTGGAATGACTGTGTATGAGCATTTTTAAAACATTCAATGTAAAATTTTTGTTTTCAAATCCCATGCACACAGTGCTCCCGGTTAATGTTACAGGCAAATTTGAAAAAATCTGCAATGATTTTTTATATCACCAAACTCCTGCTCGGTGCATGGGTGTATTCCTGAGTAGGATCCGCTCTGGTCGATTGTTTGCTCACTGTGTAGCCGTGATAACAATATTACTGTGTTTGCATGTGGGCCTTCTTTCTGCGAAGATTTTCGCTTTCCGTCGGGCATATAAAGAGCCTTGTTTCTACGAGACTAGATTACGTAATGCACGGACGAGACAGTATTTCGGTGGTCCGTAACGTTGGTCAAAATGCTTGATGAAACAACAGACAAAATAAAATGGTTTTAACCACGAAGTTCCCAATCACATTTTATTATTCAGCTTGTATGGGTATGTATTCAAAAGGCTCACTTACAGTCGTGGTTATTTGTATTGTTCATGAGAGTTGCTCCTTTCAGATTTGATAACCAGTTGATTATCGTGGTCGTGATGTCCCTACTCAGCCTAATGACCAGAAGCAGCTACAGAACGATAATTATAATACTGCACATTATAAGTAAACGGCTTTTATAGGGAACAGGTGCTCTTATGCGTCCAAAAGTCTTAGTACTGTCGGGGGTGGGTGTCTTGGGTTACGACTGGTCACTCCTTCCTTGAACCTAAAAATAGTGTGTATATTAAATCATTCTATTTGTTCCCTCTCAATTCACGAGTAAGAATCAAAAATAAAATACAACTTGTGCTGATATCTTCGCTTCCCGACTGACTTTTGCAGTATCTATGTTTTAACTATACACAGCCGGATAGTTTGGAATTTTGGTTCGAATGCTCACTGGAAAATGAAAATAGTTTGTTCTATAAACAATTCTGTCACCAGACCGATTTAGAGCATTGGATAAAATATAAAATGAGAAATGATTTACCGAACTCAGTTTATTGGGCTAAAAGGTTTTCTTACATTAATGCGCATATTATCAAATTGTCCACTATGCTAACCCCAATTTAACTTTTTTATAGGAGTAAAAATGACCAATGAACCACCGAAAGGTCTTCGATCCAATTTGCTTCGGTCCTATTTGAACGATCCGATCTCTGACCCAGCCTTTTTCGACGGTTGTTCCAAGGTAATGCGATTGGGTTCATCGCACGGTCGATTATAACAATTTTGATTTCATTTTCCACCCGCTATGCTGAGTGCATTGATGCCTGACTACATATATATATACATATATATATACATATATATATATATATATATATATATACATCTGAGACCAGACTATATTCCAAACAAATCGTGGTACAATACTCTATATTAAAAAAAACCGTCCATGATTTGCATGTAGGCTGAATACTGTCAGGTTACCTAGACCAAGGCAGTTGAATTTTCTTGAGGAATCCATAACCGGAGCCTTCGGTTAACCAAAGCCTGACCCGTAAATCAGCGGGGCGGTGTTTGAAAACCGCAATCCATTTGGGGCCAGTGTCCAGTTCATCGGATCATACACCCTTTGAACGGGGTCAAACATCCAAGGTGCCCAATACACCTCGATGCTCGATCGAGCCTGTGACGACTGCCACAACCGGGAAGGTGTGTGTGGACCGTACACCTGTTCTTGGTTGGTTTGGAATCAGGGTTTTTGGCCAGCTCCCCTAGGTGAACTACCAGTGGTCCACCAACCCGGTTATAGTCCCGGATATCGGCTTTTCGTTCTGTCACTTTAGTGGGAAAACACCACCGAGAAGGTAGTGAGTAGGGTTTCCTCAGCAAATTTACTGGTCGACGAGCACGCGTTGACTTTCAGACTAGTTCGATAATTGTGCGCATACACTGGGTGGTGCTACCGTGATGCTGCAGCGTGATTTTGATGAATCTCACAGGGAATCGCTTTGAAAAAAATATCCATAAAACCAAACCATATATCATTGTGTTTATCACACAAGTGTATGGATTCTGACTGTATGCCAAACAGACCGGGGTTTATGCCCCCTTACGACAAAGAAGTCTTCCCATGATTTTTTTGGGGGATCAGCATTGATAAACTGCCTATAACCAATTCCGTGGATCAATCAGAAAGTTTAACTTGATCGAGCAAATCCGGGCTGTCCAGACGGATGTTCAACTTCATCTCAATAAACAAATGAAGCTGCTCCACCGATCAATTTTACGCGACTGAGATCGCAGTAAAACGTTCAGGTGTATCTTCCTCCATTATCTTTGTAAACATAGTGGCATAAATGGCAAATGAAACATGCTCAGACAATCTGGATTCAATGTTTAACTTCTGATATTTTGGAAAATATGGCAGTGGAAAATATCCTGACATGCAACCTTGGTCTGAAAGCTCGAATTATGACTAGAAACGCTGATTAAATAGATCCGCTGCACCCCTATAGACAGAACTTGTTTGTCATCTCGGCTTATACTCCCGTAGACCTTAGACTCGATACAGTCAAAAGGTGAGGTGGGTCGATATCATGATTTTGGCTGTAGGTATGAATGTTAGAGTGAGTCGGCTGTCTTCGAGCGAGGTCCATTTGGGAGGTCTTTAAGGACTAGATTCCTGTCGCTCGGGAAACGGTGAACGGCTGTTAACTCTATGTTCCAACCAGTACGAACTTGAGACGATTCAATTGCCAGTACTCCACTTGACGTCTATCGTCCTCGAGTCAGCGATGGACGCAGATCGACCACATCGCTATAAGCCACGAATTACGAGAATGCATTCACAGCTGCCCGATCTTACTGGAGCACTCCTGTCAAATCTGACCACGCATTAGTCTCCATTAGGCTGTCCATGTGCTACGGTGGTGTTCCAAACGCATGAAAGAGCGACGGTTAGACTGTGACAAGTTGGCTCGACCACTATTCCTAACCGAATTTCAAAACGCGCTGGCAGAGAGGTTAGAACCAACCTCATTTGATAACATTAATGAGCACTGGTCGCTCTTCAAGAATGTTCTACATTCTACTGAATCTCTGCAACTTATTGACGCACACAATCCTGACTGGTAGACAGCACAACGAAACGACTAGTAACGAGACATGAGCTCAACCCAAGCGAACACAGACACCGCGAGATTTGGTGATATTGACGTGCCTCAGAGATGGAACGTGCGCCACAATGATCACTGATAGGAAAACTTTAGATATGAGCGAAACGATCTGACGGCTAGTTCAATACTAATCAACAGCGACCTCTTGCACGCTGGACACTTTGAGGCACAGCTTAGCTAGTCACCAACGTCAGCTTCTCACACAGCTACTCCAGTAAACGTCCCATACCTCGACAAACCCACTTGAGCCAGGAACCTGCAAGGAGATTCAATCACTTAGACTCCACAAATTGCTGGGCTCCGATGGCCTTCAACTCTATTTAACAGTAGTGGTATAAAAATCTGCACAGGTCCCCTCCTCGTCAGGCATTGTCGTCTCTGTCTTTAAGAACGGTGCACACATGGACTACACCAACCACAGGGGCATAAGCCTGATTCCAGTAACGTCAAAGCTATTGGTGTCCCTCATTCTTCGTAGTTTGTACAATGTGCATGATACGCAGACCCAAGAGGAGCACGCTGGGTTTCGCGCCGGTCGTGGGTGCACGGATCAAATATTCCCTCTACGACGATTGCTAGAGAACCATCATAGAACAGGTCAGCCACCGTTTTGTTCTTATACATCTACGTGGTTTTGACTTTCTCGATAAGACCGCTCTACGGAAAATTTTGTTGAGAAATGGTGTGCCATCAAAGTAGGTGTTAATCCTCAATGAGTCGAATTATTCTGGGGTACTACTCACATTTGGGCGTTGTGTGCAAAATAATGCGGTTGATAGTTCTCTTCAACGATCAAAAACTAACAAGATCACTGAGGGTGAATTGCTATGCCCCGAAAAATATCTACGGACTGCTCCATTGATTACCCTGGGTACTGTCGGGAATTGTTATGGCATGTTTCAAATGAGATATCTGCTATATGTATGTCAAATTATTGATATCCTAACTGTAATCTGCAATAAACGACTATCCTCGACCAGGTACCGCCTTCTGGAATTATAACAGTATGTTCATACCTGAGGTAGGTTTATGTCCCATGGTCAGCTTTCGTCATTCTTTTCCGTCTCCAGTGAAATTGAGCTCCTCCTAGGGAACAGAGTTGTTGATTTAGAATATG